CTCCCCAAGTCAGCTGCTGCTGAAACTGACCAGCGGCTGATTCCAGGAAGCTGGGGCAGAGCATCTCTGTCTCGGGCTTCCTGGAGTCAGCTGCTAGTCAATTTCAGCAGTGGCTGAATCCGGGACAGCTGGGGTGCTGCTGGGTTGGTCCCGCAGCCCGGAGGGGCAGCGCTACTGGACCTACCCGGCAGCACTCCAGCTGTTCTGCCCCCTGCTTCTCGGATTCAGCGCTGGTCAGTTTTAGCGACTGAATCGGGGAAGCTGGGGGCAGAGCAGCTCCAATGGTCCGGCTGCCCGGACCATCAGGAGTGCCGGACCGTCAGATGCTGGACCATCGGAGTTTTACTGTAACTACTCCCCAGAGTCATTCAGAGTAATTACTTCCTAGTGCTTCCTGGAGCTCTAAGTCAAGGTAGCACATCCACATTAAGGAAGCCTGCCTTGGACTAATTTCGAGGCTTCCCTGTAGTTTGGACACACAATTTTGAAACAGATATTTTGGGAGTTATTATTTCAAATTAAGTTATTTTGAAATAAGTTCCTAGTGTAGACATGCCCTAGGAGACCTACTGCAGAGAAGAAATTCAGACAAAAAAGTGATCCTTCGATGTAGTGTAGCTGATTTTGATAAAAGGTGCAGAATAAACCTGGAAGAGCAATGTTTGCTCAAAATATGGTTGAAATTGACTTGCTAAATAATTTGACAAGCTGCAGCATGCCTCCTTTCACCTGAATTCTTTCACCTCCCAGGGCACCTTAGGATAGTCTGACTTAACAGCATTCTATAGATAGCACTAAAGAATTCTCAGTGCTAATGCAATGTGTATCTATTAATGCAGGTAGCCAACTGAATACTGAATAATGTTTCTCATAGTATGGGTCAATGTGGTCCCATTTGAATAAACTACCTTAAAGAAAGGGTAAAACAAAAGGAACAGTAATTTTGTTTTGCCATCATCTACTTGTAGGGGATACTTGTTGGATCAGATTTATAATCAGCACAGAGCTGCTGTGAGCCTGAGGCTGGCAAAGGTGGAAGGACAACACCTTTGGTCCCCCATCCTGAGACCTGTGCCAGAGGAATTCTGAGAGAAGCTAAACTGGGATTTTGGCTGCTTTGAACCAACAGACCAGTGATAAAGCAAACACTGAAGGGTCCAGGATCTGATCTATTATTTCTTATCATGTCTCAGGAGACTGAGGGCCCTTCCAGAATAACAACATTTAATCATGCAGACCTTTTACACGTGCAACTGATAGATCAAGGCTTACATTTCTGTTTTTGTCTTGGGGCAGGAACCCCTGTCTCCCTCCCCCCACCTCCCACCCCATACACATGGTGTATTTTGAAGAGAAGGTGAGGATTCAAAAGGCTGGGGGAGGGAAAATTCAAAAGTGTGCATTCAAAAATGTCTGACTTAATTCCATTTACCAACCTATCCATCACTAAATAGATTAGTACTCAAAGGAAACTCAGATATAATCCCCACCTTACAATTTAGCAATCCATTTTGAGTTTTAATCTTCTGGCCAAGGTTCATTGCCTACCCCCAGCCTGGATTTTGTAATGATTCCCCTGCTGATTTTACTTGCTTTTGTTTATTTGTTCACCACTCTGTGTGTATCCTCTGATCACAGAAAGCTGTTTCTCAGCAGCCAGCCACACATGGGTTCTCTAACTCCTCCTAACCACCAAAAATACATGTGGCCAGCAACTGGCTGAACTGCTCACATGGATGAGGGTGGAAATGAGACCACTGCTTTAGCA